CAATCTCTTGGAAGCTGGTGCTCCTACAAAAGACGTTTAGGAGCCCTGGATACATCTACCATCTGTGTGTACAGGTAGGTCACCACCAGCTAGGGGTGTATTCCAAACCAGTGAGCTAGAGAGGAAATGCGCCATTCCCAGTCTTGCGAGCTGGTTTAAGGCCATAGATTATAATGAGCTGTAGTACAGTACATAATTTTCTGTGCCAAATTGCTTACTTGTATTTTACTTAAATATTAGAGATGGGCCTGACTCAAAACCTTCGCTCCTAATAAACTTGAATGCTGTGGATGTTCAGAAGCAGAGTCAAGTTTGCAGCTCAGTCCCACGAGCATTGAAATCTCAGCAGAAGGAAAAGGGGCATCCAAAAATAGAAAACATCAATGTGCGTCTGAGAATATCCTTCAGCCTGAATGTGCTAGGAAGGCCAAGTTAGTCCCCTAACGTTCCTGGCCTTGGCCCAAGCAGAGGAAAATTAGCCCTGACATTATTTCCAGGTGATAATACAGCAAGAACTGAAAGTCTCCCTCTTGCATGGGTGTAACTACAATACACAACATAACCCAAAGACTGACTGACATATAAGCCTACTATATCCCTGTCTGGGTGAAGTGCTGTTTCCTGGATGCGTTGACATCTGCTGTGCAAGAACTCAGGGCCGTGATACAGCTGGCGTTGGAGTTGCTGGGTGCATGGGCTGCACTAATGATGCTGCCCATTGCCGTCCGTAGCATGCGATCTAAATAAAAAAAGCCATTGAGATGCACATTATATGCAGGTGCACCTGCAGAAGACTCCTGAATCATAAAAACCCAGGAAACTCTGCTGCCCATGGCACCAGAGAGCAGGCTCATTTATGCTTGCAGTAGGAATGCTTTAATTTAGGATTTGACTGTTAACATGTAACAGGGTGACTGTGGCTGACAGCCATAGCCAGTGGCCTCTCCCACTAATATCAGTAGCTGAAGGCAGTTTCTCTGCCTTCAAAACTATCAGCCCTCAATGGAACAATTTCAAACTCAGTGAGTGTCATTTTCTGCAAGGCACAAAGCAATAAAGGAAGAGACAGTACAAAAAACCCCAAACTCCAAACCCTATGATGTTACAAATCTATTTAGAACTCTTTGAAGAATTTAAAGTTATTATCATGGGAAGTGATTCTGACATTAAAGGGAGTTCAAAACAAAGCAACAATCCAACTGGTTGAAAAAACTAGAATATCAACATTTTTCACATCTTTCTTTTGGGGTGGCAGGGGGAGGAAGGTGATGCTTTGAGCTGGACAAAAAGTAACAAAACTACATAGGGAGCAGATTAGACAGACTCATGAAAAAATGTGCACAGATTGGATCCTATGTTGATGAGAGCTGTAGAGATAGTTAAAGAGAGGGATTATAAGTACATACGAATTCTGCCCTACAATACCTGAACTAAACACGGAAGAGACCTGTTAGGTTTCCAGTTAATTTGCATGCCAATGCAGAAATGTTCTCTAGTGTTTCTTTACTAGCATTTCTGTCAAGTTTCATTTTAAATGTGCCCGTGTGATGTATATTCCCTTCCTTGATTTCATTCCGTTACTGTAACAGACTAACATTTTCTTGACGTGATGTTTGCACTCCAAGTATGTCTGTTAGACATATGGCATCATATTAGACGTCATTCAGCCTCTCTCTGGATATATCTTCAACTCTTCACATTTCCAAAAAAAGTCAGTCTATCCTGCCACCTAGTCGCTTTTGTTTATCTTCTCTGAACTCCGTCTAGTGCTAATTGTTCTGGTCAAGGGTTACATAGAAATGAACTCAGTATCCCAGTTGAGGTCACCTCAGAGCTAGAGAGAGAGACTATTATGCAGAGGCATAATGCCATGGAACAGGGACATATCAACTCAGCACTGCATTGGCATTTTCTTACACACACACACACATACACACACACACACACACAAATCTTGGCTGCTTTTAGTAAATTAGACTCCTTATTAACCTGATATCTGTTCCTTAAGGTATCTCATTACACTACTTAGAAATGAACATACAGCTCCAAGTAACAGTACTAAATTAATGCAATAAAGTCTTATCCCATTGACTTGTACTGAACATATTATCTATTTAAAGCAGATGGGACCTTTTCAGCAATACTTGTGGAGGCAGGACTACAATTATAGTTAAATCCTCAGCTAGTGTAAATCAATGTAGTTCCAATGACTTCAATGAAGCTACATGAATCGATACCAGCCGAGGATCTGGCCCATCTGATAGCAATAAATGACATGGTGAATTATAGGCTGTACAGCGAATGTACAGCCTGTATGACAAACTGTACAATAATGCTCCGACGTTAAAAAATGTCCAAGTGGAAAACAAATCTAATTATGATTTTATACATTAGATAAATTGAAGAAAACTCAAGTGATGATGAATTACTTCAGCTACGGATAACACACAGTGGGACAAATTAAGCACTTGGTTACATCTGTGCAAATCCAACATCGCTCCACTGAAGTCACTTAAAAAGAGCATGTTTGATCATAAAGCAACTAGGGCCACCGCCATCTGTTGTGCCCATTTTCACATATTTCCAGAGGGGATTTATGTATTTTTGATCTATTCCTTTGTCTTTTATTTGTAAATCACCATAAATTACAGGAAAAAAGCCCCCAAACCATATGTAAAAAAAACAAAACCCTGATCTTTATGCTATGTCTACACTACCACTTATGCTGGTATAACTTATGTCGCTCTGTCTCCTGTCCGCTTAGAGCAGCTACGCTAGAAGTGCTGTAAGAGTTCGTGCAGCTGCACTGCTGTAAGCTCTCTAGTGTAGCCATAGCCAAAGTGTTCAAGTTAAAATAACATCCTTAAAGGAAAACTCCAGTGATCAGCTCACAGATGCTGTGGTGACCGGCTCCTATCAAAGATAGATCCTCCTCCTTTAGGTCAGACCCTTATGGAATATGGGTATATTTCCGTGTGAGCTTTATTTACACAACAGGATGTGCATTGATGATAAGAGCATCAAAATGACAGACTTTACAAACCTTGTTTGATGCGGGAGAAGTCTATAATCCAGCTTTCATCCCAAAACATCTTTTGCTTCTGATATTGAAACCACTGCAGAAAGCATAACAGGCCAAATTCATTCCTGGGGCAACTCTATTGGCTTCAGTGGAGTTGCACTAGGGATGAGCGTAGCCAATAAATGATTAGTTGTATGGATATTTTCAAATATAAAATCCTCCAGGTGTCTGAACAAGCATCACCATTTTAGCCTCCATCCTCTCTCAACGTCTTACTGACTTACATAGAAGTAACAGATCTGGATCTAACACCAAAATACAAAATCTGTAATTCTGAAGACTAAACAACATGACATTTTGTAGTGGACAGTCTGATACTTTCTGTCCATGTTTGCATTTTTGTGCACTGCACTTAGGACCCAGCTCTTACCCCAGCGATGTGGTGAACATCATTTCACATCTTGGAAATGTCCAATGTGTAAACAAATGTCATTTCCCCCCAGATAAGCAGCATTTACTGGTCATATAGGATGTGGCAATCAAAATCAGGCCCCAGAGCAGCAAATTAGATGGTACATTATTACACAAAGTACTGTAGCTTGCATAACATTAGATGGGACACTGTCACCATTTTGTAAATAAGATGTATGTCTAATAACTGACGTACCAAAAAGTTGTCAAGTACAATAAACCCATTTTATACAAGCACATACTTGTCTGTAGATCAGAGTTGCAGGTTAGCTATGATAAACAGAAGACAATTTAAACACAAATATTTGATGGTCAGCATTTTGCCATCTATCTAATATTACCTTCAACAGCACGCATTGGATGGATGACAAGTAACAAAAACCCAATTTACACAAGAGTTCTTGTGACATCTTGGGAAGTGGTGGCAGAATTTGGGGAGAGCTTTGGGCCTGATTCCAGGCCCAGAAAATCAATGGGAGTCTTTCCCCTGATTTCAATCGGCCTGTGCTTTCAGGAAAAGGAGATGTATTTTAGTGTGCAAGGACCATAATCAAACAAAGATGATGGGACTGATTCAATACCCACTGAATTAAATGGAATCCTTTCATTGACTTTAATGGGGGCTGGATCAGACCATATGAGAGGGAGGATCATTGGAGCATTGTGCTCTTGCTGTATACTGAAAACTGGATACAAGTGACCTTTTCAGCTCTGTTTGTAAAAACAAGTTTATACATTGACTAAGCAACAAGCAGCAGAGAATGCTGAGTAGCATGTACCTACAGAAGCTAGGTAGATGATACTTAGCATGCCCTCCAGCATAAGAGGAAAAACAACAGAGTCCCTGCAAAACAAAGAATATCTGAGACAATAGGTAAATTAGATTTATTCTGGAGGACTCACATAAGTGAGAAGGGGGCTAACTGTTTCCCTAACTCGTATGATGACTTTAAAGTTATCCACTGAAATCTGGTTGTAGGGGCTTGATTGAACTCCAGCCTGTCTTGCAAAGAAGTGGGAAATGGAAGGTGAAGTGGTCTGATGTGTATTATGTTGGAAGATCCTCAATAAAAATGTTTGAGTAACAAACCGACATTGAATCAACATATGGGGTCAGATCCTTCTGTTGGACCTGAGCAGTGCCTATTTGTACCACCAAGAGAACTGGCCCACTGTAATGGGCTTAGGAAACCTCAAGTTGCTCATCCAGTTGCAATAGTTCAAGGGTCCAATGCTGTAGTCCACATACTGACCCTCTCACTGTGATAAGAGTGGATAAGGAAGGCATGCAGGATCGAGTCTACGTTATGTTAATACATTTGATACTGAAACATATAAAAAGGCTTAACAGCTGTATAACTGATACTTTTCTATGATTTAATTAATTCATTACATTGGCGTGTTTTCTCTTAGAATGTAAAATATTCCGGTGCCCACCAGAGACTCTGGACACATTTACACGGAACAACCATTTCCTTCCATGAAAATGCCCTTCAGAAAAGTAGTCACAGCTCTCCAGTTCCCATTTAGAGTCTCTCAATGCTCTTCCCAGCAATTTCTCTCTTACCCCTAGAAAAAGCTGGCAAGAACAAAGAGGTCTTGCATTGTAACCTGAAAGGTAACAGATCTGGGCTGTGGCAATCTAAAGCAGGAAGCTAATTCCACAGTTTTATCTAATTATATGGCCTTCAGCATGGTAGTATCTAAGTGTCTCCCAGGGCTGTGACTTTAGATTTATTCTCACAAGAGCTCTGTGAAGTAGGTACCTATTATCCCTATTTTACAAGTTGGGAACTGAGGCACACAGAGATTGTGACTTGCCCAAGTTCGCATAGGAAGTATATGATAGAATGAGGAACTGAATCCCAACCCAGTGCCTTAACCGTACGATCATCTTTCTTCCCCTGAGCAAGAGCATCCTGCCTTCATTCCCTTGCAATCAACCAGGGGGTGTTAGATTGAGCGCTCCGCTCCAGATGTCTCAGCCACAGCAGTGTGACATAGGAGGGAAGTGATCCCTGCCATAACAAAGAGCCAATGCACTTATAGGTTTATAGGTTAAAACCAAGCAAGTTATCCATAATGCACACAATCAATACCATGACTATACATCTGAAAATATTTCCCTGGCAACAGCTTTCCATAACGTTCAGAAATTAATTTATGTACCTTCAGATACAGAGGAATCTATAGGAATGCAAAAAATGGAAGGGCCTATTCTGCAGAAATATAGTAAAAGAATAAGTAAAAATGATATATCATCTTATATTTATCCAGCACTTTTCATCCCAAAGGATCACAAAGCATTTTCTTTATATTGATCTATCCTTTTATACACACACACCCCTTTCTGTATTCCCCCCAGTGAGTCTGTTATAATAATGAACTGCTACTACGAAACAAAACCCAAGGATTGGACACTGACCGGATCTCCTAAATTGAGGAGAGGTTCCAGCTGGTGTTAGGATGCACAGTCAGACACGCCAGGATCATTACAGAGAAGGCGTAATCCTAGGTGTCAGCCCCTTGTGAGCCATTCTCCAGCAACGTGGGGCTGCTCTAAACTATCCCCGGGGGGGGGGCTGGTGTAGAATGGGCCCCAGAATCAAGAAGCAACTTTTCCTCCCATTTCTCTTCTTCCCCCTTGGATCTCCCCGGGGGATTCTGTGTGTAGCAGAGAACCTGTTCTGATGCTTGTAAAGAGTTGTGTTGTAAACAATAAAATAATGGAGACACCATGATGGAAATAAAAGAAGAGAAAGGAGATTTCATTTGACACTTACCACTATTGTCAGAATGAAGCCAGCACAGACTAAACATATTGGTAAGGCAATTGCTATCCTGGCATCAGCTGTCAGTGGGCATTCCCCACAGTCAGCTGGACATGTGGAACAGCTTTCATCTTCTTCACAAACACCATCTCCGCAGACTGGGCAAAAAGGGATGTAGAGAGCAAAATGCTTGAAAATAGCTCTTTCCACTCTTAGGACTCAAGTCAGTAACAAATACTTAGGGCTCCTGGGCTGGGGATCCCCAGAAGTGGCCACAGAATATCTGAAAGAACAGGTTTTGAGGGATTCTAGGAGCTTTGTCCAGCAGTTGAAAGCTGCGGATTTTAAATGTAATCTAAGGACCCTTAAAATACACTGACCTTAGACTAAGGGTGGACATCAGTGCTTTTGACATGTTGTTCCAGATGTGTTGCTTGGTTGTTACCTTTTGTCTGTTTATTTCTCGTCGCCTGTCTTGCCTGTTTAGACTGTATGCTCTTGAAAACAGGGACTGTCCCTTACTCTGTATACTCAGCCCAGCCCTTGGGAGACCCAGGGGTCAGGAGAACAGAAAGCCATCTTTGTCCCCTTTCCTTTCAATCAGCAGGACTGGTATTCAGTAGTATGAATAACTTCAGGCAAAATGAACAAAGCAACCCATGCTAGGAGGTGTTTCAAACGAAAGCTCATGAAAATTAGAACCAATATCAGATGTAATGTAATTTAAATGGAAGTTTCAACATCAGCCCAACATCAGCAAATGATCACAAAGTTGAAAAGTGTCCCTGAAAGACATGATCTTTACAGCTGAGATGTTCAAAAAGCTGTCTGTTTGGTTTTGTAGGCAATAAGGTCAATGGCAAATGGTAACTTCATTAAATAATCACTGTTTTCTCATTTCATTTACTAAAACATAATCCCAGTGGGAATTTCTTTAGATACTTTAGAGTGAAAGTCATTGGCAAAACTCCCATTAATTCTAATGGGGCCTGTATTTCACCCACAGATCTTCACTACTAGAATGCTGTACCTCAGATTCTCAAGCAAGAGAAGACTTGTGCCACTGTGAAAGCACAGATCTCCTAACTATCAAAATGTTTTGGAAAACAATTGGTAATAATTCTGCCTGCTTCAGTTCTATTCCATTGTAATCTGCGTTCCAGTACTATGGCCATCACAAAGGTCTCTCAATGCCTAACAATTATATTTATTAAAATTAACACAAGAGCACTGCATTGGGCAGTGTTTCTGAGGTTTATATGAACAATAGCACCAGGCTCAAGAATCACTTGTGTTTGCTCGTTAGTTGTCATGCCTCAGGCTAGCCTGCTTCCTGTCTGATGACGAGTGTCCATATACTGGAAAGAGACCATGTGGTAGAACTGTTTCGCATCCCTATGACATCCCAACAAGCCTTGTAGTGCCTGAAGCTGCTGGTTCTGGTATTTGATTTCAGCTGTTTGACCAAGTGCAGCCTTTTACGGGGTTCTCATGTCCTACACAGGCAACGAGAAGCTGGAAAAACTTTAGAGATTTCAAGTGGTTTGAAAAAGAATTGTAGAAACATTTGATGGGATACATTCACTTGTGAAGGGGCTATGTGGGCTTTTGTTCTTCTTGCCTATCAGTAGAATTGGAAGAGCTGTGTAATTCCTGTTTAACATACGAGAAGTCTTTATTTCATACCATACCTACTGCAGGTAGCACCGTGGTTTTGGCTTCCAGAGCAACTTGCATTTTCCCAACCCTGATGTGTGCGATGAGAGAGGTCACCCCCACATGAACCAAAACAACCTGCCAAACAAACAGCCATTGCTTTAAATTTCATACATTGGCCTTTTTCAACACCAATAATCTAATCTCCTTTCTCTAGATCTATTATTTCACCTTCTTCCTATTTGCAGGCAATGGAGGTCTCATCATCTTCCCATCAGCCCATGTGGCAACATGATCAATTGTCTCCAAACCTCATTAGATATTGTTACCAGAATGGAAGCTAAATGGCCACTCAAGACCTCTGTCTCTCCACAAGGGAGTCTGTAACTCCACCCAACCCTACTACTGCACGTGCAGTTCTGTTGAATAGGTCAGCCTCTGGGAGAGGCAAAGTCTATATTCTTCCAAGACTTTTGGGGCCCAGATAGCCTCAGCTATTTCCATAAATGTTTTTGAGACATATTGGCAACCCTCACGGAGCTGCCATGAAGTGAGGGAAGTGAGACAAGCAGAAGTAGAATCCAGTCCTCTGGAAACAAGATGCTAGGTGCACTCAGTTCCCAGTAAAGTCAGTTGGAAGCTGAAAGCACTCAGCACCTCGCAGTATCAGGACTTTATCCTGCGGCCTTTATATGCATATAACTCCAAATGAAATAAGTGGGCGGATTTCCTACCTAAGGACTGCGGGATCTGGCCTGCTAGTAAAAAGGTCTAGAGCATTGTATGCCGTAAATGTACTATACCTTGGCAGTCCAGTTTGTCTGACTCATTTTGCCAGCTGTAGATAAAGTGTGAGTAAATATCTGGCCATCATCCGGAATCCACGGGCCACATATTCCACCTTTCCCCTTTACCAAAAAAGAGCAGTTATATCAATAGATAATAAAACAAGGAAAATTCCAGACCTTAATACTCTTAAATTTAGTACTCTTTGGGGGCCTTGTGCTTTATTCCAATAACTAGCAATGTATTATTCATTATGACAATGCTCAATCATAAATGACACCATTGTGTGCTAAAATAAAACACAAACAAATGGAAAGGAGCACATGGATTGATAGTCCAGTTTAAAATTCCACAAAATTCTCACTCACTCAAAGTCCATGAGCCATTTTCTGTCCTCATCTCATTTAGGCACCTAAATCTGGAGTAACTTTATTGAAGTTAATGGAGTTATTCTGTATTTACTTCACTAAAAGTAGAATTTTGTCCACAATTTTTTATTCTCTACATGGTAGATTGTAGCTCTACTTTTTTTTTTTGACAACTATGGGATATGGTGTTTCTTTCATGAAAGTTCCTATTTCCAGAGCATTTCTCATTAAGATTGCATCAACTTTAATTTCCCAGCAGCCGCAGCCATTGAGAATTATAATGGCTGTCTGAGGATCATGGGTTTTTAAATGGCTTAATCCTTCTTGCTAAATTTCAGATATGTATTCAGGCATTTCTGTTCATGCACTTTAAAATACAGTATGCAAAAAAGAAATGGATTGCTCATGCTAGCTGAGGTAAAACCAGGAGTAATGGTCTCAAGTTGCACTGGGGGGAGGTTTAGGTTGGATATTAGGAAAAACTTTTTCACTAGCAGGGTGGTGAAGCACTGGAATGGGTTACCTAGGGAGGTGGTGGAATCTCCTTCCTTAGAGGTTTTTAAGGTTAGGCTTGACAAAGCCCTGGCTGGGATGATATAGTTGGGGATTGGTCCTGCTTTGAGCAGGGGATTGGACTAGATGACCTCCTGAGGTCCCTTCCAACCCTGATATTCTATGATTCTATGATTCTTCCTGAAAAGATGACACCGTATTGAAAGCCCCTGCTTAATGGAAAGAGCTTTATTTGTAACTATCCATTTACTAGCACAAGCCCACTTTCCTACAGCAGTTTTGCTCTATGGGGGCTATTTTATTGATGCTTGCCTTGTCTAAGCAGGAAAGCTCAAAAATATTTCAAACTTTAAAAGCAAGAGGCTGGGTGGTACCTTTGTGCTAGAATCACTCACAGATCACACCCTCCCCACAAGGATTTGGGGGTAGAACACCTCCACAACAGTGCACCCTCTCTCTTCCCACAGAGGGTGGTGTGTGGACACGGGAGTGATCCTGAGGGAGGTGGCAGCCAGTGGGCAGACTGAGGGAGGACTGGGCATGCTGACAGGATGCATATTGTGCTGTGCAGTGCCAGTGGAGATTCCAGCCAAAAAATGACACCACCACAGGCTGGATGATATTTCTGTAGCCCCCTTCCTTCAAGGGGAAGTTCTGAGGTCAGCTGGGGAATCCCTAACAGAGTGGCTCCAATAGAGCTGTGCTGGCAAGGAGCAGGGCCACAGCTGCTGTGGAGGCACAGGGGCCTTGGTGCAGCTGGGTGAGATGAACATGATTTATGGGCTAGACACGTGCACTGGAATGGGTTGCCTAGGGAGGTGGTGGAATCTCCTTCCTTAAAGGTTTTTAAGGTCAGGCTTGACAAAGCCCTGGCTGGGATGATTTAGTTGGAAATTGGTCCTGCTTTGAGCAGGGGGTTGGACTAGATGACCTCTTGAGGTCCCTTCTATGATTCTATGATTTCCCCTGTGAAGCCTTCTCTCTTTAAATACATTTAAAACATAATGAGTGGAATCTTGCAGAACTTCCTCTCCTTTCTGGTCCTATGGGTACTATCTGTCCCTCCATAAATACAAATAAACTAAACTGTTCTAACACATCATTCTGGAGCCCCCATTTTAAATATGGTAAGTACACAAAGTGAAGAGGAACAGACTGTCCCCCCCTGCAATTTAGCACAAACACCTGCCTTGACTTCCGTGAGCCTGGATTTCACCCGGTATGTTTGAGTACAAGTGCCCTAACAGACTCCGGAAGAAATGGATAGATTCTTCTCGCAGTGCAAAGCCAGCCATTAGAAGCTTATTGTCTGGCCTTTGAATGCTTTTCTACCTTGATGAAATATGATAAAACCAGTTCATATAGGGTCCAACCCTGCAAGTCACTGAGCAACTCCCATTGATTTTAATGGAAACTGCTGGATGTTCAGAACTTCTGAAAATCAGGCTGTTTCAGTCTCTCGCAGCCTGCTCCAAAGCCTGCTGAAATCAATGGCAGTCCTTCTGTTGGCTTTAATGAACTTTGGATCAGGCCCTAATATGGACTTAGGGGCCTAATTTTAGGCCCTCATTTTTCATTATGTTGACCTGGCTATTAAAGTGTCTCATCTAGCATGCAGAACAGACCCACCCATTGTACTAACCATGAAGGCCAAAGGGCAGGAGTGGATGTTGGCGTGATGGACACAGCAGTTTTCTCCATTTGCATCTTTCCAGTTGGAAGGGCACTCTTGTTCTTCACAGAACTTCTTGGCTGCCGTAGCATTGCTAACCATTTTTTTTTAATACAAAGAGAGGATTTTATATTCATTTCTCATTCCTAAAAATTTTTTAACAGGCATGTAATGAAGTCCTGTTCTTTACACTGCACAGATATACACAGCAGGAGACACACTGCTATTTCTTTATATTGTTTTGCTGTGTGTGGAAATAGCCCCACAGCGATGGATCTCTGCTATCAACTGGGGCACCATCTGGTCCTAGGCAGAAAAGGTCTGGCAGCTGTCAATCCTCCGGCAGCTGCCAACTCCTCAACCTGGCCCTCCACCCTGACAACACCACCAGATGGGGAATCTTGGCCACGCAACCCCTGACTCAGATCCTCATGCCACTTCTGATGATGTCCATCTCAAATGAGTGATTGTCTCTCTGAACTTCAGGACATTCCATTGTAAACATTCTTTACTTCAAAACAAAGTAACTGATTTTTTTTCAAGTATGGCTTACTTTGTAGATATGACTGAGACTTAAAATCTAAAAACTTTATCTAGTGTACTGTTACTGGATTCAAAGCTCTATGAAAAAAACAACAGTTTTTATCCTATTGCAAATTGTATTAACTGACAAGTAATTTGTAGTGTTATAAAAGGAGAATACATTTTAAGGGAACAGAGTTAAGGTTCACCTAGGGTAAATTTTTCAAGAGTGTCTTGAGGGCAGATTTACAAAGGGGTTTAGGTGCCTAAAGATGCAGTTAGGTGGCTAGTAGGATTCATAAAAGTGCTGAAGCGGGAAAGGCACCTAACTCACATTGACTTCTTCTTGCTCCTAACTTGGAGTTAGGCACCTGACCTGCTTAGCACTTTTGAAAATCCCACTAGCCACCTAGCTGCGTCTTCAGGCACCTAAATACCTTTGAAAATCTGGTCCTTGGGCACTTTGTAACATTTTACTCCTAAACTCTAAGATCTCCATTCAGTGAAGCGCTTAAGTACTTGCCTCATTTTGGGCCCAATCCAAAACCCCAGGAAGTCGATAGAATGATTTCTGTCCACTCCAATGGCCTTGGGATCAGGTAGTTAAAGCAAGGCAGCATCCCATTGGTACTAATGGGACTTACGTCCCTTCTTAAAGAGAGGCACATACTTAAGCATCTTGTTGAACTGGGTCCTAAGGGTCCTGTCTTTGAGTGTTTGATACCTGTGTGTATTATTAATGCATTCAGAGTGAGATTTTCAAGCGTTCCTAAATCATTTATGAGCACAAGTCCCATTGGAAAGACTGTAGCAATAATCCTACTTCCAGCTATTGGAGAAAGTTTACTTTATGGCTATGTCATCACAATGCTATAATTTACTGCTATGACATTATAGCTATAAATATTTTTGGGAAAATGTAAAAAAAGTTTTACCATTACTATTACAGATCATTACTAAAGTTTGTCCAAAATCCCTCAGTACCCAAATGAATGAAATACAACTTCATGATTAAAGCCACCTACACTGTCAAAATTCCCCCCCCCCCACCAACAATCTTGAATATCAGCTTTAAATATGAAAGAACATGTAAAAAAAATTCTCTCTGAAGAACTATTCTCACAAATTGAATCTTGTAAAAATGAACACATAGGAGGGCACTGGAACATTTTCTGTGTAATCTGACTTTTTTCATTTACCATCTTTTTTAACCCACCAAATACATAAAAAGAACATAGAAAATGGTGAAATGAGGTTAAGGCCCCAGTCCTACGTTGCTCTGCATGGATCACAGTACATGACTGGGGCCTAAATATGCATCTCAGTGATCCTATGTCACAAGCTGCTCAGCTTTTACACTTGTCATTACAACGGCATCATGTTAATCCCTCGATTTTGCCTTATTATACACCGTTATGTTTGTATACGTTACAGTCTGTAAGTGTGTTGATATAGCTACAGTAGGAAAATTCTGGCCCCATTGAAGTCAATCAGAAATTTGTCATTGACTTCAACAGTCACAGGCTATACTGTAGTTAATGTGTGTGTTGTACATTAAAAATTATTAGTAGTATTATTATTCCTATTGAGACCTACAGGCCACAACCAAGTTGGGTTCCAGTGTGCTAGACACTGAACAAACATATCCTGGCCGCAGCGATCTCAGAATGTAAAAGGTAAGACATAACAGTGAGATGAAACAAGCAGGCTGGGTTGAGGATGGGAAAGATGAATAACAACTATAATAGCATGTGCACCACCCAATTGTTCAGCAGCAGTGATTATTATTATTAATACAAATTATTATTTGTAATATCATAGTATGTTTGAGCCCCAGTCATGGACCGAGCCCCATTGTGATAGGCACTTTACAAACACAGAACAAAAAGGTGGTCCCTGCTCCAGAGAACTTACAATATAAATACAAGACAAGAAACAACAGATGGACACAGAGAGCACAAAGGGGGAGTACAAGTAAACAATGAGACAATATTGGTCAACAAGATCGGCAGTGATCTCAGTACACCAGTGATCTACCCATTCCCAGGAGCTTAATCCATTGACACCTTGTCTACACACAAACCTGCACCAGGAGGTGGTACCTGTGAGAAAGGATTCCGTTTTGCACAGCATAGTGGTAAAAGTGATCTGAAGCAAAGACTGCATACGTTACATTGAAGAACTCCCCACTCACAGCCTTTTCTGGAGGTCTCTGGACCCAGGCCATCTCAAGACCTAGAAATAACACACAGTTATGGGTCAACATGTTTGGTTTAACCTACTACAACTATGTGCAACTGGACAAATTGTTCTGGAGCAGAAATCCAATTGAAATGTAAATGTTTTCACAAATATTCTTCCTGTCATTACTGCTGGCCAAAGGTCTTCCCCATGTATAGTGTACAGGTAGTTCCAAAATAACATCTATTGGAGAAGAAGTGTTTTTAGATTTTATTCCCCTACAGTGTGCAAGCTAACTAATCAGAGCACTTGGAAACTTAGGACCAAACCCTACTCACTTTGCTCAGGTGGGCCTGATCCTCTTCTGACTTGTATCGATTTCACTCCAGTGTAACTCAGCTGACTTCAGTGCAGTTATTCCTGATTTACACTGTTTTCCTGCTAGTAACGGTTAAGAACATAAGAACGGCCATACTGAGTCAGATCAAAGATCCATCTAGCCCAGTATCCTGTCTTCCGACAGTGGCCAATGCCAGGTGCCCATCCCCTGTCGCCCATTCCCAGCTTCTGGCAAACAGAGGCTAGAGAAACCATCCCTGACCATCCTGGCTGATAGCCATTGATGGACCTATCCTCCATGAATTTATCTAGTTCTTTTTTGAACCCTGTTATAGTCTTGGCCATCACAACATCCTCTGGCAAGCAATTCCACAGGCTGGCTGTGTGTTGTGTGAAAAAATACTTTCTTTTGTTTGTTTTAAACCTGCTGCCCTTTAGTTTCATTTGGTGACCCCTAGTTCTTGTGTTATGAGAAGGAGTAAATAACACTTCCTTATTTACTTTCTCCACACCAGTCATGATTTTATAGACCTCTATCCTATCTCCCCTTAGTCTCTTTTCCAAGCTGAAAAATCCCAGTTTTATTAATCTCTTGGCTCCATCAAGCCATAAATACAGCCCTTCTTTCTCAGAGGGTATATTACTGAACAAAGTAGTAGGAATCATTAGTACACACAGAGCCAATTCCTGAAAACCCTTACTCACATGAATAGTCCTTACTTAAGCAAGTAATCTTCTTAAACAGGACTACTCATGTGAGTAAGGGTTACTATTCTGTAGTGATTTCCTTTTCCTTATAATTAAATGTGATTAGAACTTACTACACTGGAGTTTTCCTTTATCACAATATTCTTCACTTGCATACCGCTTGGTGATCTAAACGATTTGTTTCTGCACATAGTTCCCTTTTCAGATATAAAAGGGTTAATTATAAAAGAAACAATCCTTTTGGGTCAACAGCAGTAGAGGAACAATCATAACAAATCATTAATAATGAATATAATAGAAGAGACAAAAGAAAGCTCACTTTATATATTATTCTAGCCAGATTTTCACAAATTATTAAAAGGTAAAATAATTGTTTAGGTTGAGAGTACTTCATGGCAGCTAGGTGAGAGGTCAAAATAAATTTCTTAGGGCAAAAGGCTTTTTTCTCCTTGAAAAGGATTCACAACAGCAGCAAATCCCTTTATTTAATTCTATTCACACATAGATACATATGCACACCAAAGACTAATGTTTAATTTATAGCAATAAGAGCCATAATATGTGTCTCTAGCTCAGTTTTCATCTGCGTCTAGACAGTGGTTCTCAAACTTTTGTACGGTGATCCCTTTAACACAACAAGCCTCTGAGTGCAACCCCCCTTATAAATTTAAAAAAAATATATATATATATATATATATATTTAACACCATTATAAATGCTGGATGCAAAGCCGGGTTTGGGGTGGAGGCTGACAGCTCGCCACCCCCCCCCCCCAATAACCTCGTGACCCCCTGAGGGTCCCGACCCCCAGTTTGAGAACCCCTGATCTAGGAGCTGGTAAAGGTATTTTAAATAAACTGTACAAAGCTTAAAGATCATTCTAAAATTGATTACAAAGGGCACATATTAGTGTAATTGCATTATTCATCAGGGTTGGGAAAACAAAACTCTAGCAACCCTCCCCTCCCCTTACTTCTCTTTGTTTTCTATTGCATTCATTTTGCATTTTGGTTCACTGATAACTTTGTTTCAAGAAAGTCGATTGCATTAGCAAACAGCTGGATAACAGAGATGCTAAATACGCCAGGGTAGAGAATGTCCAGTTTATAGTCAATATTCTTTGAACTTCACCATTTAATCTGAACTTTGAGACAATATTAACACTATTATGTTACATTCTGAGCCTGAGCCTACAGTCTGTCTACAGACTTCAGTGGGAGTTTTACCAGTTTATAGCTTGTAGGATTGGATCCTGTTATTTCGCTTTGCAGCAGTACGTCAAAAGTTGTTGCATTGCATCCTAACCTTTTCCAGCATTTATATAACTGTTTATTTGCATTAATTATTTAGCTTCTTATTTCTGATTACTCCTAAACTCTTTAAAAAAAAACACTTTGAGTTTCAAATATCAACCAAAAAGCAACAGAGGGTCCTGTGGCACCTTTGAGACTAACAGAAGTACTGGGAGCATAAGCTTTCGTGGGTAAGAACCTCACTTCTTCAGATGCAAGTCCAACTTGCAAATATCAACCAAGTAGCCTTTACATTTCTGATTCTTTTGCACTAGAAACTCATCTTTCAAAGTATTATACGTAGGTGTATAAAGATCTGAGAGTCGTTATTTGTTTCTATTGAATAGAAGTTGGGGGCGGGGAAATCAAAGCATGAAAATACATATGGAGAGACTCCACTTTTTGGCTTAGTGTTTAAATGAATCCCATCCAATCTGGAACTGGCAGGGTATAATTGAACCAAGTACTGAATACAATCTGGCTGCAATGCAGGGCTGTTCGTTTGCTTTGTTTTGTTTAGGCTGCTTTAGTTTTTTCTAATGTCAAACAAAATTCCTTGCTTGAAGACAATGATTTCCTTCTTTTTTAATCATCCTAATTATGTTCCCTTTGGAACAGATATGCTCCAGACAAATATTTATTCTGAAGTGTATGTGTGCTGGCCACTTTCCTTGACTTAATTCATCTGGAAAGAGACGTTGCTGCTGACTGAAATATTTTCCACTAGGTTTGAGACCTGAGATGTATTAGGAATTATTCTGATTACTTAAATTTTCACATTCTCATCCATTTTCCTAGCAGGCAGAGATGATCTTCCCTGAGCAACTGTGGGACCCACTCACCTCCACAGTCCAGCATGTTATACTCATCTGGTTTTTCCAGGGGCCAGCAATCATAGTCGCTGTTATCCAGGTCGTGCCACCCGTCCACTAATATCACCTTCCATGGAAAAAACATACCAAATAATCCCATAAAACAGAGGAATTTTTGTCTACAAAATCTGTTCTCTTAATATAAAAAGTCTCTCCAACTTTCTAGAACAAAGATCACAGCCAGGAATAATCTAAATGCTCAGAAACTAGATTACAGGTTTATTATATTCCCACATGCCCCCCCCCGCTCCCCAAAATTATTTTTAAAACAATAAGAGAAACTCAGCTAATCCAGTTGTGCTTTGGGTTTAAACAGAGCTCAGCGTGTGTGCTTTTTAAATGTCACACTCCAGCCAAATCTTCTCTTCCTTTTCTTTTTAATTTTAAATAATTTGTATATAAAATACGCTTAAGAAAATAAATATAAACATGTTTTATAACATATAAAAGTTATACTGAATTTTTTTTAGAATCTATTTTTTCTTAGTAGTATTTTATTAATGCATACTATGTTCTATTAATAAAAGTAGAATATATTAATCATAACTGATGGGACTCAAAGTATATAGCAGAAAAACAGCAGGATATATTATGAGATATAGTTCACTTTATATACTAGAATAGAATAGAGTAATATAGTCTGTGGTTTTTCTTGGTATTAGTAAAAGAATATGATAGAACATGTTCTTCTAATGTATTCTGCTATTCTATATATTGGAAGAATAGAATAAAATACAATATGATATATTCTTCTCCGGTATTCTATTATATTCTGCATATTAGTAAAACAGTAAATAGAATATAATATAGTCTTCAAATGTATTCTCTAATTATTGTTCCATACATTTAGTAGAATAGAATGCAACATATTCTCCTAATTATCTTCCTATCTATTAGCAGAATAGAATATTTTCTTCTGATAGATTCTGCCATTAGTCTTTTGCATAGAAGTGGAAGAGAGTAGAACCAATTGTTTCTAACTATCTTAGTGAAATATAATATATTAGGAACAATCTGTAATTAAGAAGTATTAATAGCAACCACTGCAATGAAATATTATTAATTTCTTGACTATGCACCATATAGGAGCAGGATCTATGCAGTTTACCTACCAGTAAACTGAGGAGGCTTCGGAGCCCAGGGACAGGTGGTTTGGCAGCTCCCATGGTCCCAAATAGGCATCAAGCCCAGTTAGCTTCAGGGCTGCTGCTGTTGCAGCTCGGCTGGGTTCTTCCCTCCCTACAGGTTTCCAGCCAGCCAGGGGTTTATCACTGCTCTAGCTGCTGCAGTTATTTGTCTTCCCTCCTTTCCCCTTCCCTTTGTGGAGTGGGAATCTCCCCCCTATCCCTAGCAAAGCACCTGTGAGGAGGCAGCAGATTGTCATCTCAGCCACAGAGCAGCTCCCCTCCAAATGTCCAGGCGCTGAGGGAAGGGTTTTCCCTCCCCTCAGCACCCGGAAGGAACAGGAGTGTGAGGACTTTAGCCCCTTGCCCATGTTGCTTCTGACTCTCGGGTCTTCTCTGTTCCCTGTTGGGAAATTTCCCTGGAGGGCAGATAAGACAGTTGCAGAAAAATACAGGCTGGGTCTGGGGTAAGATGGATTCATAGATTCCAAGCACAGAAGGGACCAATCTGATCTAGTCTGACCTCCTGCATAACCCCAGTCATAGAATTCCACCCAGTTACCCCTGCATTCAGCCCGATAACTTGTGTTTGATTGCTAACACACTGCCTCTGCAAATGCAGTATGCTATCTATTGGTTTGGTAGGACTAGGGCTATATTAAAGCTCACTTCTGCTGCACTCAGTTTCATTCTGTGTTTCACTTTAAATTCTGATTGCAAGCCCAATAGCTCAGAATGAAATGTGGTCATCTAAGTGTTGGAAATTCTTAAGAGAAAGTTTGTGTGGGCCATCTCAGAATTCAAATTCATACTTGACGGTGAAAAGAAAAAAGGGCCTTGAGAGAAATCTCAACAACATACTTCACACATAGTTCTATTTATCTTTAAAAAAAATAGAGAGACTTGTATATAGTAGGGTTGTTTATCCAATGTGTTTTGCTCCTTATTCTGGTTTAAATTATCTGTAAAGAGACTGATTTTTATTAACTTGTTTAAGTCGTTTCTCACTCAAAGCTGTTTGACTATCTTTAGCAGAGCCAGCTCCTCTGCTGGTGTGAATCAGCAGAGAACCATTGACTTCATATAGTGACACCAGTCACTACAATACTGTAATGTAGTCATTCAGATCGGTCCCTTTAAAGGGCCTCTGAATGATTCAATGGAAAAAGAAACTTACAGTGACTTCAAAGGAATTACACTGATTCACACCAGCTGACCTCTATGCTGACATATTTATGTCTATGGGTTGTTTGCAAACTGTTTGCTATGTCTTTGGGTATTAACTATTCATTATTTGTGGTGCGCAGCTGGTCACTTAGGTCACATGGCACTGCTTCAGTTTCCTAATTGGATGGTGTAACGGGGTGGTCACCCGCTTCTGCCCTGAAGGGCTTGAAAGCAGCCCTGGAGAGGGCTACAGCTCTAAAAGCTGATTGGGGAAGTGGCTGCAGCTGGGCCACACCCCAATCAGGGCCCAGCTGTCCCCTATAAAAGGCAGTGAGCCAGGAGCCCAGTCACTCTCTCTCTGCGTTCAGAGAGAGAAGGGCCTGGCTGCAGGAGCTTAACTAGGTACCTGGAGGGGAGCAGGGGTGGGGACAGGCCAAGGGAGCCGGGGAGCACCGGCCTAGGAAAGCCCCAGGCTGCAGGCCTGGTAAGGCCTATTAGGTACTGGGTTGCAGGGGGCAGCCCATGCGTAGGCAGAAGCAGCAGGTCTGAACCCCTTTGCCTGTGATGAGTGGCTGATACTGCAGTCTGCCCCAGTGAACGCGAGCTAGATAGAGACTGGGCAGTAGCCAAGACTGAAGTGAAGTGGGGATAGTGGGTGGCAGCTCCCCTGAGAGGGGGAGACCCAGAACTGTGGGGGGATACTGCCAGGGAGCAACACCCCAGACAGCAGGGCACTGGGGTCCTGGGAGGGACACGGGGCCAGCGACAAGTGGAACACCGGCCTGCAGAGGGCGCTCTGGAGGCCAGAGAGCTAATTCCCGAGACGACCAGCAGGAGGCGCCGCAGGGGTGAGTCCGCAACTCTACAGATGGCTAACTTTTAGAATCAAACAGAAGGTAATTAAAGAGATTTCAAGATTGATGTTTGAGTAAGTCCCATGTAAATCTTTGTGTGGACACATTCACATCAGTATTCATGAGACTCTGAATAGACTTGTGACCAAAGCAACATGCATACATGTTTGCAAAAAAACGAAAAAGGGTTATAAATATTGCTGAAGGAAGTTTGTGATGTATTTTAACATACACATTGTGCTTCCTTAGAAGATTTATCTTAGAGGATTTAGTTGAAATATACCGGTAGATTCAAATTTTGGAATATTTATAATTTTACAGATATTGTCATTTAGTCTGCAGCTTGCAGTGTTGCAGTCACATGTAAAAGAAAGGGTAATTAATAGTGTTTGGCTTGTTCTGTTACTCCCGCCTAGTGGCTTTAGACCAGAACAACAGCACACAGAAAACTACAGTTTTACTTGGGAATAGTAGAGCTTCCTGCTGCTTCAAATGCTATCGCAAATGCAATGATTAGAACTTCAGCTGCAGGCAAGTGATACGCGCCATGCATCAGCTGGACTGCTGTGGATTCAGCAAGGCTGTGTTTAGGGGTTGTACAACATCCATTGGAGAGAGACAGTGTGGTCCAGCGCATAGAGCACTGGACTGGTATTAGGAGACCTAAGGTAACATTTTTGTTGCCTACGTGATTTAGGAGCCCACCGTCCATTTCCCAGAGATTTAGATGCCTGTCTCATTGAAAGGCAATAGGACTTAGGGTCCTAGGTGCCTAAGTCCCTTTGGAAAAAGGGCTTGAGGGTCCTAAATCACTTAAGTGCTTTTGAAATTTGTGTCCCGGAACACTATTCCTGGCTCAGCCACTGGCCTTGTGCAAGTCAATCCAGCTTCTATTTCCCCTCCCACCCTTTATCTGTCTTGTCGATTTAGATTGCAGATTGCTCTGGTCAAGGACCTTCTCTCACTATGGGCAATGCCTGGCAGAATGGTATTCTGGGCTGGAACCTCCAGATGCAGTTGAAACACAAATAATAGTGACAGCTAGATTCACAAATGTGATTAGATTTCTTACATGTTTCTTGGCAGATACATATTTTAAAGACTTAATAGATTGGGGTAAATTGCATATTAAGTGGATGAATTGGGTCTTGATCCTGTGGGAGGGACATGGGGGGGTCAAGTGCTCCCCCCCGATTGGCCTGCCGGGGGTGGGGAGGGAAAGGGGTTCTACCTTCTATCCCTGTTTCTCCCCCCACACACACACACCTTTGGCTAAATTGGCTGCTTTCCCTGGCAGGGAGCAGTACAGAGCCACATCTGCCTGAGAAAGCCTGGCTGGGAGGCAGTGGTGGCCGACTCCCTGCCGGGGCATGGCTGTGGGGAGCAGGGCCTGGGCGGAGGCAGCCTACTGCTGCCCCAACTGCCAGGGACAGGAGCCGAGAGAGCCAGAAACATGCTGGGGATGGGGAGAGGGGACTCTGGCTCGCTCACCCCTGTCCCTGGCAACTGGGGTGGCAGCGGGCCGCCCCCAATCTGGGTCCTGCTGCAGGGACAGGGTCAGAGCGAGCCGGGGCCCCACTCCCTCCCCCTAGCAGCTGAGCCCAGGCTGCCTACCAGCCAGGCTCTCTCATCTCAGTCTGCAGGAGGTACTGAACATCTCACAGGATTAGGTACCAAGAGCACTGGGGGATCGCAGCCATGCTCATGAACCTCATAAAAGCACTGTTGGGCCCAGATCCACGAGAGGACTTTAATCCCCACTTTTAAGTCCAAAATTTAGGTGCAACTGAGATCATCCAAACACCTGTTCAGTTGCCATCTCACTCTGGAGGCACCTAAATCTTCCCATAAAGGTCCTCTCAGTGTCTGTATTTCCATTGCCGGGCATGCACACAACACCTCAGTCAAGGCCTTCATCTGCTTTGAGGAACGCACTACCCCATCTATCTCACCTGCAGGGCCTGACTGGCCGGCGTTCTCAAAACATGCCTAACTCCACACAAAGCAGCAGCAGCAGCTGCCCTCCCTTATAACCTTTAGCCCGACCATTAGCACACTCACCATGAATGTGGGAAACCCTGAGAATTCCTCCCTCTTCCTTACGGGGAGAAGGAATCTGAATATGGGTTTTCCACTTCTCAGGTGAGTGCCTGAACCACTGGACTACAAAGACATGCTCACTCTCTCTGCTGCACTCCATATTATTTCAGTATTTATAGACAGTGGAACAGCTTCGACACATGAGACTGCAAGAGGCCTATATCAGACTATCCCAGAGCAGTGGTTCGGGCACTCAGCTGAGAGGTGGAAAACTCATGCTGAAATCTGCTCTCTTTAGGTAGAGGAGGGAAATGAACTGGGGTTTCCCACATCACTGGTGAGCAGGGCTGCCCAGAGGATTCAGGGGGCCTGGGGTCTTCGCGGCGAGGGTCCTTCTGCTCCGGGTCTTTGGGGCACTTCAGCGGCAGGTCCCAGGGCGAGTGAAGGACCCGCCGCCAAATTGCCGCCGAAAACCCGGAGCGGAAGAAGCTCCGGATCTTCAGCAGCGGGTTCTTCACTCGCGGCGGGTGTGTTCGGTGGCACTGAAGGACCTGCCGCCAAAGACCCGCCAAAAACTCTCGCGGGGGCCTCTGTGGGGCCCAGGGCCTGGGGCAAATTGCCCCACTTGCCCCCCCCTCTGGGCAGCCCTGCCGGTGAGTGACCTAACCACTAGGTGAAAGTTATGAGGGAGAAGGAGGCATTTGTCACTACCTCTCCCCCACACCCTCTTATTTATTTTGTGCAGAGTTGGGCATGAACTGCCACCATTCATGCAAGAAACAGTCTGACTCCAGAAGAGCATTCCATGGATCCCAACCAGAGATAGGTGCTTCCCTCCCACCTGGACTCAGATGCCTAACTCCCTGAGAGGGGCAAGGTCTAGGGGACACCCTTCTCCTCAACCTCTGCTTTTGGCTAGGCTTAGACAGCTCCCCACCCAGCTCCCATTCTTTGGCCCTTATCTCTCTTCATGCATTGTAT